TACACGACAAACATACATGTGTTTTTCTATATCACACCAAACATAATGTGAAACTCAGGAATATGTTTTCAGTGTAAGATTTGGATTTATTTGTAAAAAAAAAATGTTTTGGTTGAGAATGAGATGATCACAGATATTCACTTTTTGCTCCTTTTAATGTTCCACAAATCCTGGGGTCATCACCATCTTTCTTATAACATTGCCAAAAGGAATTCCTCGTTCATGGCACCCACGTTCTCTCTCGTTGGAACATTATTTAATGTAATTACAATTAGTTTTCGATTTCTTACAAGTTCCAAGAAACGTTAAATAATCACAAGAGTAGTCTTTACAAATTATGAGCAGTGTTTTGTTTTTTTCTCTCTTTTTGTTCCCTTTCGCAGAAAGTCAATATCACATACAGCCAACCCTCCTCCTCCTCCTCTCTCTCTCTCTCTCTCTCTCTCTCTCTCTCTCTCTCTCTGAGGAGAAGATGAACAACACAAAAAGCAGAAGTTTTTTCATGCCCTGATTTGCATTCCCTTGTCGGTATAAGTTGTTGTTGATTCTGACTAATCTTGTAAGAACACAACAACATGAATTTCAACAGAGAAAGCACTGTCAGGTAATCTTTGACACTATAGTATCATGCTTTCTTGAATTGTTTCCCCAATTAAGAGATGAAATTCAGCTGCTGTTTGACAATGCATTACAAAAAGATCACAACTTTTTCTTTGCGCTTCCGTTTTTCATAATCCTTCAACTTTTTTGGGTTCGATTTCATGTCAATGCAACCACTGTTTCCTCTGATTCTGAGTTTTTTTTTTCTTGGGTCGAACAGATTCTTCGGTGACGAAAAGCAAAGCATTGAACTAACAGAGAAGCGATTGCCATTGTTCAAATCAGAAGCACTTCCCTCCAGTGGCAAAGACGCCAAAACCCATATCAGAATCCCCAGATTCCGAAGATTCAAAGTTTTCCCGGAAAATTACGAAATCGAGAAAGACAAGATTCTTGATCCGGGTGGCGATGTGGTGCTTCAATGGAACAGGATTTTCCTCTTCTGGTGTTTGGTTGCTCTCTTCGTTGACCCTTTGTTCTTTTACCTCCCTTCCGTCAGGAACAGAGGAAGTTCTTCCTGCATGACGACAGATTTGAAGCTGGGGATAGTCGTCACCTTCTTCAGGACACTTGCAGATATGTTCTATGTGTTGCATATTGTGATCAAGTTCAGGACAGCTTATGTTTCGCCCATTTCTCGAGTGTTTGGTCGGGGAGAACTTGTTAAAGATCCTAAATTGATCGCCAGACGGTACCTGAGATCGGACTTTATTGTGGATCTGATCGCCTGCTTGCCTCTTCCTCAGGTACTGACAAGAATTATATGAATCTTTCTCAAAGAAAGAATTTTCCTTCTCTTCTGAGATTGATAAGTGTGTAAAGTGGCAAGCTTATATAGTGAATCTGCTAAGTTCCTTTGATATACCGTGTCGGTTTCTGTAAGAAACTTACATTCTTGGTTGAACTTCTGCTCATGTTTAGCTAAACCAACTCAAGAATCATGGAGTTCTTTCGGTTTCTATAGAAAACTTTCGTTCTTGGGGTTGAGTTTCTGCAACATATTTATCTAAACCAACTCGAGGATCATGGAAAATCCCTTCGGTTTAACATACATTCGGTTGTGTCTGCAGATTGTGAGCTGGTTCATCTTGCCATCCATCAGAAGCTCTCACTCCGACCACACGACCAATGCGCTCGTACTGATAGTTCTCGTGCAATACATTCCGCGGCTGTATCTGATTTTCCCGCTCAGCTCCGAGATTGTCAAAGCAGCTGGAGTCGTTACGAAAACTGCTTGGGCCGGAGCTGCTTACAATCTACTCCAGTACATGCTAGCTAGCCATGTATTTCCCCATTTTCTCCCATATTTCCAGGTCTCGTCTTTCGAAAATATGCTGTGAAACAGTTGAAAATCAAGATTTTCGTGGTTTTTTTGGTAGATCCTCGGGGCGGGATGGTATCTCCTGTCCATTGAACGCCAAGCCACGTGCTGGAAGTCTGAATGCCGGAAAGACTCCACCCCTCTGAAATGCCTTCCGGACTTCTTCGACTGCGGCACTTTGGGCCACGAAAACCGGAAACTCTGGCAGAATACGACCTCAGTTTTCAGTAACTGCGACCCTTCGAACGATATACAATTCAACTTCGGTATTTTCGCCAACGCTCTCACCAACAATGTGCTTTCTTCTCCGTTTCTTGAGAAATACTTGTATTGTCTATGGTTCGGCCTGCAGAATCTAAGGTATTCATTCATTTCTTCGCTTCTGTTGTGTTTAATGTTCTTGTTTTCAAAGTTCAAGATTAATTCTTGTGTCTGTGCTTCGAAGTTCTTACGGACAGACTCTGAACACAAGCACCTTTGTTCTCGAGACGATTTTCGCTATCCTCGTTGCCATTTTCGGCCTCGTTTTGTTTGCTCTTTTGATCGGAAACATGCAGGTAAGGCTAAAAGTTTTGACGTTTCTTTCTGAATTCTGGTAACTACTGAACCAAATCTTGACACAAGATCTTTACATACACGGAATCTGATCGTTATATTTTTTCGTTCGTGGCAACAGACGTACCTGCAATCCATCACGGTGAAGCTTGAGGAGTGGAGGTTGAAGAGAAGAGATACAGAAGAATGGATGAGACACCGGCAACTTCCGCAGAATCTGAAGGAACGAGTGAGGCGTTTCGTTCAGTACAAATGGCTCGCGACTCGAGGAGTGGATGAAGAATCGATCCTTTGTTCCTTACCTGCAGATCTTCGCAGAGATATCCAACGTCACCTTTGCCTCGATCTTGTTCGTCGTGTAAGTCATCATTCCAACAAGGACTAACTTCCGAACGTATCTGCTACCGTTCTTTCCGAAACGTTTTCTCGTTTTTTATTTTCAGGTGCCGCTCTTTGCGCAAATGGACGATCAGTTACTGGATGCGATATGTGAACGTTTGGTGTCATCTTTAAGCACTGAAGGGAACTACATCGTACGTGAAGGGGATCCTGTGACAGAGATGCTGTTCATAATCAGAGGAAAGCTCGAAAGCTCGACCACCAATGGCGGAAGAACCGGTTTCTTCAACTCGATCACACTCAGACCGGGCGATTTCTGCGGGGAAGAGCTTCTGGCATGGGCGCTGCTCCCGAAATCCACAGTAAACTTACCTTCCTCCACAAGAACAGTCAGAGCCATTGAAGAAGTCGAAGGGTTCGCTCTTCGAGCAGAGGATCTGAAGTTTGTGGCGAATCAGTTCAGGCGTCTTCACAGCAAGAAGCTTCAACACACGTTTCGATACTATTCTCACCATTGGAGAACGTGGGCCACGTGTTTCATACAGGCTGCTTGGAGGAGATACAAGAGAAGGGTGCTGGCTAAGAGCTTGAGTTTGGCTGAATCCTTCTCGTCTTCCTCCTACGACGAAGAAGCTTTCATGGCGGCCCAAGAGGCGGAGGCCGGGGCCGGACAAGGGCACGGATCGCAAGAGGAACGAGCTCACGACCATATTTCTGGCGTGAAACAGCATCTAGGTGTAACGATACTGGCTTCGCGATTCGCGAAGAACACGAGGAGGACTGCTCAGAAGGTGAAAGACGTGGAAATGCCCATGTTGCCGAAACCGGAAGAGCCTGATTTCTCAGCCGACCCAGACGACGATTATCGGTAAATATAAACAATTCCGTACAAAGATTGTGTCTTTTATACCCCACGGATCAAACTGACATTGCTTGATTCTCAAGGCAGAGAGAGTAAGAAACTGTGGTTAAAAGTGGAAAACGCAGAAGAAATGGTATAGATTCTATGTTTCCTTAAACTCGATTCTTGGTTTGATTTAGAAATCAGACATTAACACGAGTTTCTGTCGCTGGGTCGATAAGATCTTCGATATTTATGTGTGAATGGAACCAATCAAGTGCCCACCAAACTAATCAGATTGGTCCCATTCACACATGACGATGTTATATCGTCCAAGGCTCTCGTTTTTTTCTTGATTTTCTCGTGTCTGCACGGAATCTTTAACCCTGTTATTGTCAAGAGAATTTAGAACAAGGTTCAACATTTAAAAGATTTCAAACAAAAAGGAACCTCGAAAGATGAAGCAAAAAGGAACGACATATATATATGTCGTTTTTATTATTTTATTATTTACTAATATTATTATCATTTTTAATATTTTTTGTTATTTTTCTTATTAAATATGACATGTAATTAAAGTAAAATTGTTGCCATGTGAATGTTGAATAGTTAATGTTTGTGCCAATTTTTTTTAAAAGTAAATATCTTATTGTTAGATATAACAAATACATAATTAGTAGGATAAAAAAAATATAGAGTTAAAATTACGAAAAAATATAGGGTTTTTAATGAAATTTCAAAAAAAAAAAAGTGACACCAAATATCAATTTATATACACTTTTTCACATAAAATACACATTAAAGTTACGGAAACACACTCGATTTGCATTTGTGATTAATTTATTTAAAATTTTAATAATAAACATAACAAAAAAAAATTGTGACAAGTAGGTCGAATATATCATACATCAACCCCAACTTGTCACATGTTCATGTTCTTGTTTTTTTTCTTGAAAAAAAAAACCTTTGCTTTAAAAGGCGTTAATGACATTTATGGATCATCCACAGCCAAGGCCCAGCTCTACACCATAATTGCCCTCATCTATACGTTAGGAATACGAATACGACGCCGTATTCTCCAATCGTCGCATACGTATAATTGTAATCAAGCACCTACACTGATATAAAACGAATGTTTATAATTTTCGAACAATCAAACTCGAATAAAATCTAAACATAAAAACCCAAACAGATATAGATTTTCTGAAAACCGAAAGGATGGATCCGACAACCGAAATACCCGCCCGTAAGTCCATCAATACAATTTGGTTACACCCTTATTAATTACTGGTTTTTATATTCACATTTAAATAATTTTTAATAGCGTATAATAGTATATAGACGCAAGTTTAAAACTTTTTTTTTAATAAATCTATTTTTAAATCCAAAAGAGACTTCAGGACAGAAGAAAAAAAAAGAGTAAAGAGGAGGTAAAGATCTGAAGCTGAGATTGTCGGCGAGGAAGTATGGTTGGATACCAAGAATTGGTTAACAGATTTTACCGGTCCGACCAACCAATTTGTTTCGGTTCGGTCTTAAGAAGGAGAGGAACATATACCGGGCAGTAATCATTTCCTGTGAGCTTCCAAATCCGGCATTAGCTTTGAAGGTTTGGCCTTCTTCTGTTGATACTTAGCGTAAGAATACCAAACACCACCGGCCGTGTTTACAACAAGTCCGGTCACATTCAAGCCATGTACTTCCACACCTCCAAACAGCACAAAACCCAGCGTCTGCACCAAGGAAAACAAATCCGAACTCTCGGGTTTAATCTCGAGTTACGGATCTATAGACTCGGAAGCAAGAAACCTTAGGCTCGAAATCGTGTGGTTATGACTGAGAATACATACAGTGGAAGCGACGCCTTTGAGGACACCGACAATGGTTGTCGTCAGAGCAGAGTTTACTATGGTGCATAGAAACATGGTGAAGTTGAGGACAATGCCCATAACCAGGGAGATAATGAGGATCAACAAGAATGACAGATAAGAACACTGTTTGAAATGGAAAAAAGAAAATTTGTGTTAGAGATTTCCAAGGAATGGTTAAGTTGTTGTTGCTTTTTTGGAGCAGAGAAGAATGGCTGACCTTTGCAAGTAATATCGACATAGAACTGGGGAATTCGCCCGTCACCACGATGAGGAAGAACAGGAATGGGAGGGAAAGAAAGCTGTTGTAGAACATTATCTCAACCGAAGAAAGCCCGTCATTTGCTCCGGATTTTTCCACAAGCACAAGGTACATTGTCTGCATCGATGGGAAGAAGAACACATTCATGTTGCAATAATCAACGGATGACAAAGAAGGAAAAGAGGAAAGGAAACCGACCTGGAAAAACACAGATGTTAAAGCCATGCCATACCCAAAAAGATCGAAAGAAAAATCCCCGACTGCTGCTATCACACAGCCAGCAGCTGTAAGGAACACCGAAAACGCCACCTGAAACACAGATTGAAAACTGGAATCACTCACTCAGTAAGGGACTCTTCTTATCACAGACCTTGGCATCATCATTCACGGAAGCTATGAATGCATTAAGCATGCCTGAGTTGTGGGTCTGCCCTTTCCGGAGAAATATCCGGCGATCAAAACAGCGAGTGGCGTGAGCCTCTTTATCGCGATATACATTGGAATGTTAACTCCTTTCAAGCTTGCCAAAGCAAATGCCACATTGGCATTGTAGAACAGTGAAACAGGAAGAAGCTTCTTTCCAGTAGCCATGTCTATTCCTTTGGCCTTTGTGTATCCCATTCTTCTGCCAAAGAATATAAGCAACGCGGTGGCCAGTTGCTGTTCCAATCGGAAAGAAAGCGAATTCATGAAAACATTCACAAGATCGACAAACAATGAAACAAACTTTCACGAAGAATCATTTCATGTGTTTTCTCGTTGGATCAGTACCTGTAGTGTAAGAAGAGTCATAGAACTTGAATACTGCATAATCACCGCTTTATTGATGAACACCATCGCCATTGAAGCAATGCCATAGGATACAGCTGCGAACAAGCTGCATCAAGAAAAAACAAACGATTAAAACCCACAAGAATCAAATCCCACAGAACAATCTCTATCGTCATCGATTTCAATAAATCTGGCGATAACAACAGCTATGAGACTAACCCAGATGGAAAAAAACGAAACTTAAAACCGAAAATGAAAGAGTTTAACCAGTAATCACAGTGCTAGTCCGACGAAAACGAGTTTGGATTAACGATAACGAAATCGCACCAACGACGATTGTGGGTGGATTCAGCGACTCTCCGATCGAAGAGAAAACCCCAGAAAAAGGAAAATTATGCACAGATCGATGAGAAAGAAGAAGAGTACCTAAGGAACGAGCTTGGGTCCATTTCGGCTTGACCCTCCATGGCAGGAAGAGGGATTCGAGGGTATAAAACCGCAATCAAACCCGGAGAATTGAGAGTTTAAAATTTGCACAGAAATCAAGAAGGAGAAGGAACCCGCGAGGAATGAACGTGATTCGGACGCATTTCCAGAAGAAAAGTCACCGACACTGTGAGATCGATCTCTCTCTCACATTTTTTGGGGAGGATTTATCTATGTTCATGGATGGAGTGAAGGGACATGTCGATAATTTTGAAGGGTGATGGAGTGAGGGAACAAGTGCCGCAAGGGTGTGTCCATTCCGCATAAAGAGTCAGTCCTAACAAGTTCTCGTGAACTAAAATCTACGAGTGGTTTCAATAGATGATGATCTCCTAATCACAATCTAAAGCTAGTTAATAAATGATGGAACGTGACAGAAAATACCACAAACACGGGCCATAACCGTGTTTAATAAATGGTTTGAGATAATCAGACCAAAAAAAATTATGTAAAATTATGTAAAAAAAAAACTTCTCTCAATAAAATTATGTAAAAGGATAATCTTCGTGGTACAATTCATATGTGGATCAAAGTAACCAAAACGACGAGTCATGAATTTTATTTTGAAGTTATTCCCATATATGAATGTTAGTTGACAATGTATAAATTCACCTCAGGGTCTTTCTTGATCGAGAAAATGGAAAAGCCAGAACATAACGAATTTCTGGTGCCATTTTGAGGGACTGTCATTGCATCATAAGATAGATTAAATGTAAGTTCAGGACTCTATCGAATTTGCCAATGAAGCTAGTTGAGCTAAGCATTTGAATGACGGACTTGTTTCTATCAATTTCTGGTCTGGTGAACACGACAATAGTTGCGTGTGTTTTCGAACCGTGTAGTCTTCAAGCATTTGAGCATCGTTTTCCACCTCTTGACCAGCTGGCTCGACGTCTCCATGTGCATGGTGTCAAATATTGATTTGTACAATATTCTGAACATGCTCTTATCGTTGCAGGAGACTCGTGAGACGCCGAATAATATTCTGTTGCAGAGACGGTACTCTCTAACTCTGTCACACACATACCGCTGAGACATAGACAAGCGAAGACGTGTGTATAAATTGTTATACTATGTAAGTTGTGTCTATTGTATTAGGTCTATTACTACAGAGTTTTTTAGCTTGGTAGACTTGTAATTGTAATGTAGATTTCTGATCCTGAACTATGTTCGACCAGTTTTGAGTAATACAACCAAATTATATAAAAAAAATAATCTTGATTTGTACCTGAAAAATCAATAAAGAACGGAATAAAGAAATATGCAAACTTAATATAACTTAAAATGTTTAAAACTACGCCAAACCCAATGAAAAATTATTAGATAAACTATCTAAAAATATAATTAAAATGCAATAGAGAAATGATAGAGAATCATCAGATTTCTCATTATTCAATATAAAGTGCTATAATATTTATAGGTAGAAAATAAAAACACATAATATCTTATTTAATCAATATAAATATCTAAAATATAGAAATGATATTAAATCTAAATATTATATAATATTATGTAATCTTCTTGAATTTTCTCTATATTTCTTAATACATCTCCTCAAATTTAAGGAGATGAGAAACATCTGATTGAGTTTGAAATTCTTGATAAAAATGAATTTGAGACTCAAAAGTGGGTAAACTGTGGATTGTTGACGAATACGAAAAATCCGGTGTGACACAAAAGTGTGGTGCAGATGTGCGTTATTGTGGTGTAGCACGACATCAATGTCGACGATGCAAAAAATGTGATGGTTTAGCGGTTAGACTGGAAAAAAAAAATGTGGCAAGTGTGTGCGGCTAAAGCCGAAAAAAGAAAAGAAAAGGAATGTAGCGCAAATGCACGGATCGACGATCGGAGTTTTCCGACCGAAGGGACAAAAGGCCGGATGTAGAGATACTCACAACTTTTGAGTCGTATAGGCTCTGATACCATAATAGAAAAATGGTGGAGAATCATCAGATTTCTCATTATTCAACGTAAAACATTATAATATTTGTAGGTAGAAAATAGAATCACATGATATCTTATTTAATCAAATATTAATATCTAAAATATAGAAATAATATCAAATCTAAATATTATATAATATTACGTAATCTTTTTGAATTTCTCTATATCTTTTAATAAAAGACATGGGGTTATCTCTTATCTTGTCGGTCCCAAACCCGGATAAAGAAGAAGAGTTTTATGGTAGATGACAACCAGCAAATTCAAACTTATGTCATATCTCATATGTAATGAATTCAAACTCCAAATAAACTTGAAAATGAGACGATGTTGTTGTCGTCTTAATACAATGTGATGTTCCCAAGTGTTGCATTTCTGACTATTTTAACTTGTGTGTTTTTTGTCTACACTTTCCAATGTTTAAAAAAGTTTTGATGTTTGCATTCATTTATGAGTTTGATTTGAATATTTATAAGTAGAAAATAGAATCATATAATATCTTATTTAATCAATATCAATATCTAAAATATAGAAATAATATCAATTCTAAATATTGTAATCTTTTTAAATTTCTCTATATCTTTTAATAAAAAATATGGAATTATCTCTTATCTTATCGGTCCCAAATCCGGATAAAAGAGAAAAGTTTTGCGGTAAATGGTAACCAACAAATTCAAACCTATATCATATCTCACATGCAATGAATACAATCTCCAAGAATTTTGTAATAGCCGATGTTGTTGTTGTTGTCTCTTTAATAAAATGTATTGTTCCCAAGTGCTGATTTCTGACTATTTTAACTTTGCGTTTTGTCTACGCTTTCCAATGTTTAAAAATGTCTTTTTTTTGGTAAATTTTAAAAATGTTTTGATGTTTGCATTCATTTACGAGTTTGATTTGGATATTTCCAAATCTTTTTTGTACTTTTGAGTATTTGTCTTTTTCCCAGACATGAACTGCTGCAGAAAGAGCGTACCTATGATATCTCAATCAGGAACCATATGTTTGGTTTTTCTTCCAAATAAGAGATTCCTTTTTATTCTTTCTGCTTTTAATAATTGAGGCAGAACTTCTGAGGATTAGTTTTGTCCTGTCGCGGTCGTGACGCATGAATGTGGTACAGTAATTATGGAGCGTTGAACAAGAAAGCTGTGAGATTGAAACTGGAACAGGGGAAGCTGGTAAATAAGTACCAGAGCTTGTTCTCTCTATAAAGACAAGTTCTTTGAAGACCCTTTGAATTATTTTAAGAGCTTGTAAATCGTTCAACAATGGCGGATCCAGATTCCGTCTCTCTCAGCAAGCATCATTTCTTCCAACCCCTTCTTCCCGGCTTCCACAACTTCCTCGTAATATCTCTCTCTCTCTCTCTCTCTCTCTCTCTCTCTCTCTCTCTCTCTCTGTGTCTGTATGTGTTTCTTCATGATTCTGTTTGTTTTTTTCTTTTTGCAGAACATTCCTGTAAAGTTCTTCCAGAAGCACATAGAGGGAAGAACCGGGAACATGACAGCAAAGCTGAGATCGGACGTGTCTTACAAGACATGGGAAGTGAAGATGGACGGCCGGAGATTCACCGGCGGTTGGAAAGACTTCGCCGTCGACCATGATTTCCGGATCGGCGACTTCATAGTTTTCAGATACGAAGGAAACTTGGTGTTTCACGTCACAGGCTTCGGGCCCAGTTGCTGTAACTTACAGTACTCATCATCAAGCCACGACAACGAGACCAACAGTCATGAACACACTGGTATTGCCCAGCTCTGTATTTGTCTGAGAATATGTTGATCCTCATGGAATGTGTCTCGTTAAACAAGAAAGCAGAGCACTTCGATGTTTACCCAGCACGAACTTGTCTGATTCAGGAAATGATTCAAGAAAGGAGAAGAAAGCAAGAAAGAATCTGAAAACAGGTAGCAAATACACTTGTCTTGAGGTCACGGCTTCTAACCTGAGGTTAGATAGACGGGTTAGTGTCTCTGTTTTCCTGCATCAGAATCCCTGAACCCTAAATTTCATTCTGCGTGTGTATGCAGAATTTGTGTGAGTAATGTTTTGAGTGTGTGTATATATATATATAATATATATATATATTCGTCTGAAATTTGGATGGCAATGTCAGTTTGTTCCCAAGGGTTTTGCTAGATCAAATGGTCTGGAGAATAGATGGTGCGAGATAGACTTGATGAATGAACATGGAAGCTCATGGACCTTATATTTGAGACGTCGGGCCACGGATGGCCAAGTTTACATTGTACGAGGCTGGACCAGTTTCTGTCAGGCAAATGGATTCAAAGCCGGTAGTTTCTGCAAGTTCAAAATGGTCCGGAACGGGACAAGGCCCGTGATCCAGTTATGTCCAAAAGAACCTAGCCATAATACCGACAACACAGAAGAAGGTTCAGAAGCAATAGAAAGGAAGAGCTGTTCCAGTAAACCGAAGAGTGCAAGGGGAAGCTCCAAGAGAAAGGAGGGCAGAGCTCCGGCTTCATCAGGGCAACACCGGTTTTTGAAATTGAATCTTACACCATCCATTCTTAGGACAGGTCAACTGGTAAAAAGCTCAACAAATCTCTAGTTCCTGTCTTTCTGACGGATCCAAATGCCTTAACAACGGTTGCTGACTTTTTTTTCTGGTTCGAGTCATTTCCAGCGGCTTCCAACGCGTTTCATGAGTTCGAATGGCATCAAGAAGTCTGTTAATATAACCCTTATGGACAAATACGGAGTAGAGTGGCTGTCTTACCTTCATCTGGTGAAAGGGCAGCAATTGTTTTACATCTCTTGCAGAGATTTCATCAAGGCCAATGGCGTGAAGAAAGGCGAAACGTTCACCTTGGAGTTGATCTGGGGAGACAAAACTCCGATATTTAGGTTCTGCCCTGAGGTTGGTTGACTCGTTAAGTATACTGCTATTCACCTGGTTAAACCTGTTTCGTCTGAATCCTGACAGAATTACATTATGCCAATTTGCTTTCAGATACAGCAAGAAGAGAAAGGAACTGAGACAATGGCAGATGTAAATGCTCTAAAGAGGAGAACCCACGAGACAGTTCAGACACGGACAGCTGCAGAGAAGCCTCTATCAGAAGCAGAGGTTAAGGCACATAAGAGGGTTCGAGTTCGAGATCCAGAAGATAGACCAAATCATCAAGATGATTGGGATACAGATTCCACCACTCGAATGACCTCAGGAACTGCTTCGGAATCCTCTCGGAGAACACGATCTAACCCGATAACTAAAGCAAAACAGAACATCACCGACACTCTAACTGCGGTACGACAGTTCCGAGAGGTGCTCGATACAAAAGAACGGAATCTGGATGCCGTGCTGCGAGAACTGGATGCCTTTGGTATGTAACGCGTGTGAAATCTGTCATGGATTTTAATGTTGTCTTCCTTGTCCGAACAGGGGAATTGGGAATTAGCTGCATCACATCTGATTCAGGGGAAGTGCTTAACTTATTATGTGTGATACATTTCGGTAATTGTTGAGATGTAGCTAACAATCATGCGAGTGTTTTGAAGGAGTCAAAAGCACAGAGAGAAGGCTTGACTAGGAGCCAAGAACAAGTTCTGCTCTTCTTCTCTGTTCATCGTATTCAACAATGGAGGAAAATCCCGTAATCTAAATCAATCTTTCGGATACCCGAACTCAACTTCTAAGTTTCGGATATTCAAGTCGAGAAAAAAGAGACATAACCTAATCGGAGTAACGAGGTACTGCGAGTCGAAAATGAACGACCCAAAATATCTAAATCTTCAATTCGGGCAAACTTAATATTAGAGGTGGGCGTTTCAGTATTCAGTTTGAGAAACATACCGTATTTTTCAGCACGGTGCGGTTCGGTTCTAAGGAACCATACCAAAACGCCCACCCCTGCTTAATATCGGAACCCGAATCCAAATATCAGATTTGCACCGTCAACAGACAGACTCCTATTTACCTAAAAACACAGACTGATACTCCTAGTGACGAAAATATACTCAAAATATCATATACCCGATACAGGTCAACCAAATACTAAATATTTCGATTCCTACACAGCTCTAACATCTCACTCGTAAACATAAATATGAAAATGTTTCGTGAAGCAATCAATGCTCACGAATGGATATAGCAAACCTACAAGTAGAAGAGAAGCAAAAACTATGAATGGAATTCAGTGTGATTCTGGAGAAACATACCCGCTACTTATGACTGGGTTTTGACATCTGGGCGTTTTGCCATACAGAAGTAGAAATTCTGACCAAAGGAGAGAAATCTGTTTAAGAACCCTTAGATTTCTTCAAACATGAAATGAAATCCCCACTTGAGCTTCTGTCCGGTTCACCGCCCAAGAAGAACCCTAATCACGTGTCAGATTATGAAATTCCCAATCTCTGTTAGAAACTCTTATGCTCTTCAAGGCAAAAAAAAAAGAAAGAAAAAAAAGAATTGCTGCATCACCCATCACTCTACGCATCAACCATCTCTGTATCCGTATCTTCCACCCGTGAAGGAGGAGAAGAAGAACCTACTGCGATAATTTTCACCGGAGGTTCTTCCTCACCATTACCATCTTCCTGATGCTCCCTCGCTAAATCGTCTTCAATCTCGATAGAAGGGTTTGAATCAGAATCACTTGCATTGAGTTCCTTCGTATTCTCGGGGTTAATTCCATATGGCGATTCTTTTTCGCACCCAAATTCTTCTGCTGCATGTGAAATAGTTCCATTACACAGCGGGAGCATGGTCTCACCTATTCCCTTGGTAGGACTCTCAACTGAGACTTGTTCAGAAGATTCTGATTCCATTCTCTCGGCCCTCTTCTCATCGTCGGGCCGGGCTTGGACCCTACACATGACAATCATGAATGTAATCTGTTCAAAATATGAAATACATTCTCACAACTGATAAGCAAAATGTAAGCAAAAAAAATCTTTTTTTTAAACTAAAATCTCGCTTTCTACATGTAGAAAGGAGAGTCCCACCTGCTGTACAGGAGCATATAAGCTCGTTGAGAAAGCACATCTTCCAATTCGACATTTTCTACCTGAAAGTATTTTTGGACATGGTTAGAAGGATCCCTTAAAATTCTAATTTTCACACTTGCACGCTGGAATACGTCAATATCGGCAAATACGTCAATACCCAAAATAACCAACAAGAGTTAAGAGAAGATGATTGTTACCTCGGAATCATCTATTCTATACCAGTTTCCACGAAAATCCTTTATGTAGCAAATGTAATGGCCGAAAAATGATGCATTCAGCATATCTAAATGAACAATCACTGCATAGAGCATGTACACATCTGTACTGTCTCCCCCACCACTACTGTAAGGACTGAGATCCAATGTCTCAGGAAAACTAATTTTTTTGTTCAGTTTTCCGAATCTCCCTCCCTGTCAAAATTATACAGAGATAAGTATCAGATGCATAAGCCAACTGTAACGCAAGAAAAAACAACTGCAACAGTGACAAGGTGGTACATAGCACAGACCTGGAACCTTTTCAAAGCAATTGTAAGAATATTTGGTGCCCGGCGGATCGTAAGACGCTTCCATGCCTTCACATAGTCATTGCATCTAGAAAAAAAAGTGCAAAGGGAAGATTGAATTAACAATCTTAATAACACATTCAATTCTCAGGATCCACATAATCAACCATGTCTCAAGTTCGACAAATTGAAGGTATTATATATTTATACGAGTGAAAAAAAAATACCTATCACACTTGTACATGTTGTCTCCATGAAGCCACTCTTTGGCTGTGAACTGATCAAGGCATTCCCTCAATGACATCGCATCCCCATGGATCTCAACCGTTAAATCCATCATATTCTCGTATTGGTTAGAAACATTATCGCAAACTGTACACATCACCTGCAATGTTGAAAAACATAGAGTAGCAAATCAGGGGAAAGAAAACTCGAAAGAGACAGATACATGGAGAGAAATCAAGCTATGTTCATCACAGGAAGAACAACGAATAATTTAGATAGAGAAACGAAAAACACTAGGTAAGTTCCACCATTTTCAATATAGTCAACCGGCAGATGAAGGCCAATGTCAAAGAGAAAACAGGTAAAGAAAACCTAGTAATCTTAGACGAGGGTTAAAACTAGGAAGGCCTTGAAGGGCCGGCTTGGCCAAGCGATAAGCTCGCTTGCCGTGGAGTCTGAGGTCGCGGGTTCGAACCAGCCCCTCTGCATAAAAGCAAGGTTAAGGCTACCTAGTATATTCCCTTCCCCGACACCCCCACCAGGTTGGGACTCGACCTGGGTTGGCCCTTATATAAAGGCCTGGACAATATTCCCCCAACTAAAGGCCTTGACGATATTCCCCAACTCAATTATCAATGTCCTAGTGCATAAAATGAGTCTATCACTTGTTCACCCAAATTATCTGCTTAAGAATTTAGCACTGCATCATTCTATTATTACAATAGTGCAGCTCGGTGCACAAAACATCCCCATTGAGCGGGAGTCCAGAAAAGGGTCCCACCACAAGGGTGTATTGTAGGCAAACCTTACCTTGCAGAATATTCTGCAAGAGGCTGCTTTCAGGGCTCGAACCCGTGACCTAGGTCACAACGGTAACACCAGTGCACCAAGGCTCCCCTTCATCATTCTATTATGACAATACACACACAAAAAACAATAGGCAGCATTTTGCTTTAAAGAATAGGAAAACTCACCTGTGATTGAAGATGACCACCAAATATATATTGAATAAGGGTTGTTTCTTGGCATCTAGGAGGCACCAACTTTTCTCCACCGAATTCATCGAGGCAAACAGATTGCATCGTATCAATGACAAACCTACAGCACGCAAACTTTCAAAGAATTAGCTGGGAGATTGGCAAATTCCAACGACTACCACTAGACTAGGCGATACCAAAGAATAGAAATTGTTCACCTCATGAACTCATGAGCATCCTCCTGTCTTCCATACCCAAGATTTCCACCAATATTAGGCAACCTCGATATAATGTTCATTGGTGAAAAAGGAAGCCGACTTTGGCTTGCTCTCTCAACATGAGTTTGAAATTCACAGAAGAAACACCAATCATTGCGCCTACCTGTCAAAACAAAACATAGAAGCATAGCTGAAGGGTGTAGAGAAAATCCAACAGAAGAGGTTTAGGCATTAAAATTTAAAATACAAAAGAACTTACATTCTCTCTTGTGCCCTTTCTCCAGCAGGTATGCTACAAGGGGACGAGTCCAGGATAGGCATTGTAGAACCACATTTGCAAAACAACTGAAAGAGGATTGATAAAGCAACGGTAAAATCGAGATAAAAAGAAAAAAGAAAACTATCCAACTCACTCAAATGATTATTTAATGCTGCAGTAGAAGCTAGATTAATATGAACCTGTTTCCACAATTGATGAGTCCACATGGAACCAACCCAGGCATGTCCCAGTTGAAATATTTAACAAATTCATCGTATGGGAAAAGAATCTGAAGAAGATTAAAACAAGAATTACCGATAAGACTTGCACAATCAAGCTATAAGAGCAAGAGTACATGGAAGATGACAAAGAGAAAACAGCACATTACTTCTCTAAGCTTTTGGTTAGTCTTGTTCTGGCCCTGCCCAGGAACCAATGCAATCTTTGAAGTAGAACTATTCCCTGAAGGAGAAGCTCTGAACCCGAAGCCACTACTTTTGGTTGGTGTTAGATTAATACTCCCAATATCCTTGCATTTTCTTTTATGACCAGAATTCCAGTCTGATCTTTGGCATTCTGCTGAGCTGATACCAAAGAATATAGCAAAAAAGGGAACTGAGTGAGACAAGCTGAACCAAACCAACACATCACCAACTGATCTCGCCAGTAAAACTTATAATATCGTATCTCAACATATAAGTTATTAAAAGCAGCTAAAGTTTTCCAACTTTGCCAAATCCAGATTTCTGGGGAAAAAAAGGTTCAGAAATTCGGAAAACTCATAGATGCCCAATTCCAGATAGTCGTTTATTGCCTTGATTTAACGACCGAATACGTTTTTTCAGATTAATTATTGCTGAAGATCAGACGAATTTAATCCATCGGCTAATAATGGAAACAAATGGTTGAACAGGACCACACAGAGATTTCGTTACAGAATCAACAATAAATCCATCTCCAGTTGTCCAAGTCGAATCCAATACCCACTAACGAAAACAAGAAGACAAGCCTTTAAAATATTCAGAACAAGACATGGTTACATACCAATATCGGACGGATTTGCAGCGAGAGCACTTTTTGCTGGAGACTTCCCCGCAGACAGCGCATTCCGCTGCGTCCGACGCCATGAATTCCCGGCGGTAGTCCCGACCAAAACCACCGGAGCCTCCGCCTCCGTCGACCTCGAAGTACTTCGCCGCCGACGTTCTGATCAAGTACACGACACCGATGGAGATGAAAAACAGCGTCAATACGAGCTGCGTGAAGAGATTCAGATCCACCGGTAATCCGACCTCATGCATCTAATTCCACAACAAATCTCGCACTCTCGATCATCGATCGATCTCTTCTTCTCTCGCAAGCTAGGGTTTGGTTATCTTTGGTCCTGGGAAAGCTTGGGTAGTCGGAGAAGCCGAGTCTAACCTTGCGATTCCTTCATTCTCCTTCACGAGTATTTACTTACTGGATATATTCTGAGCCCATGGGCCATTTATTTCCTGGCTTTATATTTTTCTTTGGAAAATCAGAAAATGTGAAAGATGAGAAATATAAACTCGAAGAAAATGAAAACATATTTTTAAAAATATCAAAATTACTTTTTTTAATGAATCATGTTAATCATTAAATTCTACAAAATATGTTAAATGTAATTATCAATTTTTTTAATGTAAACTTGCTGAGAGTAGCCATATCTTCTATTTTTGGATATCATAAGAAAAAAATTGACGGTGGATTCCACTGCAAAAACATTTTGTTTATAACAATATATATTTACTTACATATAAAATTTAAATATTAATCACGCTGGTTTGTGAAAAAAAAAAAAAAAATCACGCTGGTTGGCCCGACCCGACCCGAAAAAATGGGGACATCGATTTTTAAAGCCCAAACTCAAACGGGCTCGGATCGGATACCGGGTCATCCGGCTTCTTTATACACACAGGCCATTCGCCAGAAACATCTGGACGAAACATTGAAATGGCGTCGTTTTACTCCATCGTGTCATCTCCCTCTTCCTCCTCCTGTGCTCAGCCCAGGCCCTCCAATGGCTTCGGAAGACTCGAGCGTTGTCTCGTACGAGCTTCTTCTGATGTTCCCGATTTTTTCTCCGCTGATTGGTATGCCGATTGCTCTATCTGCTTAGCTATTCTAACGGACTCTGTTCCCTGTTTCTGTCTCCTTAGGCCGAATTTTAGTTTATTTTCCTGGGTTTTGTTGCATGCTTGTTTGCGCTAGTCATGGAAGAGTGACATAGATGCTGGGTTCGACGAGGAATAGAGAAATTCGAATCGTTTTTTATTGATTTCGTTTCCGGTTTGGTTTGATCAATTGGCATCTGTGGTTGTGGAACGCACCGAGTTCAAGAGCTCGTAGGTAACATCTGAATAAGAAAAGTGTGATTACTTTTGTTTGGGTTCTTGTTATGTAAGAGGAGAGATTCCATCCTTAAATACCCACTTCCTGGATTATCAGTTTCCCATAGTTCAAAGAGGGTTTCTTCTTCTCTGATTTGAAATTCTGAAACTTTTTTCCGTTTTGGCTGGTTTTGCAGGCTGGAGAGCCGAAGGAAACGCCCATTTGGCCCGGGACTTAATGTAATGAAACTGTTCGATGATGTGTTTGATGTGTTACTTTGCCTCGGTTCTAGTAGTATTGATTCGGGTTAAAGTTGTTGCAATAGTTTAGTGCCGAAGAGGCGGTTCGACATCAACTCGATGCACTCAAGTGTAATAACCAGCCCCGTGAAGATTACGGCATCGAGGTCATGTATCGGGTGAGAGAGCTATTTTCTCTGCCTTCCTTCCTTCCTTCCTTCGTCTCTGTTTTTTTATCACTTTCTTGATGTTTCTGCCGTCTTCTCTGTTTCCTCCATTGCTCAAAATGACAGTTTGCTGGATTTGACCCGTTCGAGAGATCAACCTATTTCGGGCCGTTCTTTGATCTGGGACAGGTTGGTTGTGTTTGAAGCTTCACAACACTTTGTTGAATAGCTTTGTAGTAAAATGGACTCACCCCGGTATCTTGGCTTCGTGGCTCTCTTTGGTGTGTAGTTTGAAAGGTTCCGTCGCATTTTCCACCATTCGTCGTACCGTGTTTTACTTGGTCACAGGGACAGGAAAATCTTAAGCAGTCTGTTTGTGGAAGAGGTCATATATCTCTTTAGAAATCTTGCAATCCCTTACTAGAAAAGAAATACTTGCCTGCATCGTATTCTCCTGATTCTTTCCTTTCAAACGGAATGGTATACAGAATCGGTTCAAACAACGGGTCTGGATTCAGGGAACTCGTCCAGAAGAAGAAGAGATATTTGAATTCACGATGGTCCAGGTTTGATCCACTCCCTTTGCTTCAACATGATGCTTATTGGTAGGATCTAAATCCGAAAAAGTTTTGATTTTACGGGCAGAGGGTAGGCGGCTCGTGTGATGGTTACTGGTTAACAGAGAGCTTGCTTCACGACGGAGACGCCTTTGCAGGTGGATTGGCTTATTGAGCCTCAGTTTCTTCATGTCGTTGTCGGTATTGATCATACATGCGTAAATATTGGACATATCATTTGTAATTTTACTTCACTGTTACACCGCAGTTCTTGTGGATGACCAACTTCTCACAGCTCAGTATTCATTTTGCGCATTGTTTTTTGTTCTTTAGATGTAATCCATTCCACTGCTTAGTAATAAAACCAAAACTGAATACACTGATTCATTTGTGAAAGAAAACAAAAGGGAGGAAATTCAGAGATCCATATACAAAACAAATTCATAGTTTTGATCAGTGTGGCCATTTCGAGTCTTTTCGGTTATATTCGGGTTCAATTAAAATTATTTTAATTATAGAAAAATTATAACTATTCAGTTTCTATATAAATTTCGGTTCATTTCAGTTATTTTTTATCGGTTCAATTTGGATTCCTTTTTTTTTATTGTAAAAAATTCATTTTTTTTCAACGATAGTCGGTTTCTTCAATTATTTTTTTAATCGGTTTGATTTCAGTTTTTTTTTAATTAGAGAAATCATGACCGTTCGATTTTATATCGTAGATTTGGTTACGGTTATGTTGTATTCGGTTCGATTCGACTATTCGGTTTATAACCAAAATGGTCACCTAAATCTAAGAGTGGACCAAAGAGAAGAACAAAACAAGACAAAGACATTCTCCAATGGGACTTATTAAGGACTTTAAAACAATACAAAAATTAGGGATTCAACATGGTTTCTTTCCCACACATGGTTTCTTATATAACAGGGAAAGGTAAACATGATGCAGATGTTTCATCAAGCATCTTCCCAGTATGTCCATTATCCCTCATGCTTTTGCAGGCCAAGTCGCTTGTGCTGACATAATAATCCCCACAATAACTCCAAACAACCCGAGAGCACTCCCGAAGATCTCGATCACAAGGATCTTCACGAAAAGGGACGAGTTCTGGGCATCAGATAACGCACAGCTGCTTCCGATGATTCCTACGCATAATCTACAAACGGTAAAAGCGATTCACAATCTCATCTTACAGGAAAAGACTTGACTAAAACAATCTCAAAGGTGAGGTAAAGGAGGAAGATACAGACCCACAAACAAGGTTTCCAAATCCAACTATAATCCCAGAAGCAAAGATTGCATATCCGGCTCTAAGAGACTCTGCATCATACATCCTTGATGATGGGACACTCTCCAGCTTCGTTTGCAGAATGATTGCTACAATAACACCATATATAGCCACGGCTTCGCAAAAGATTACGCTGGGACAGTAGAAAAAAAGAAAAGAAACGTGACACTATATTACGCTCGAACCCAGAGGCCACCATTCTCGAGCATCTAAAGAGCAGTAGCTAGAAAACTACACATCAGATTGCAAATGCAAACAAGAAAATGTAATAATTGTCCTCAGTGTTATCCCACTGGCGATCTGGCATGGCATCCCTCATTGAAACGTAACCATGTCAGTCATACTTAGAGACCAAAGGAGGCTCTCCTTCATCGTAAATATCAAGGGTTTAACACAGACACCAGAAGTGAGAGAACCTTCAAGGCACACTATCTTTCACCACAAAATTTATCTACTGGAATCTCGGGTCATGATCAACATTCTTTTCTTCGTCATGGGACAATGCTTACCGAAACTTGCACTCAAATGGGAAGCACGATAACGCAGCAAGATGAAAAGTTACAAAGAATCAGATTATGCCTGTAATTCGCATCAGACATCAAAAAGTTAGCAGACAACGAAAGTTACCCAAATTCCCTAAAGAGTCAGTCATTGGTTCCCGAGAAGAAAAAGCTTCTTAATACCCCGAAAAATCTCTCTTACGAGCCCTCAATTCACAGTCAACTTTCATCCGAAGGTATAATCCAACACCAAAAACTCGCAGAAAGAACAATCGCAATGTCCAAGACAAAGGGAACTAAAAATCCGAACGCTTGAACTTTGAAATACCTGATGAGATTCTTCGAAGTGATACGAGGAGCCTCGATAGCCGCACCGATCAAACTACTTCCCGTAATGTAAATTCCCCTTAACCAAACAAACATACAAACAAATTAGATTAACAAATACGAAAAACCCTCCAATCAAATTGACCGAAACCTAGACACAGAACGAAGAACAGACGGGAAAGACCTATGCTCACACACAGATGCCTACATCTACAATAGGAAGGAGAAGGAATTACCATGCGGCGCCAAGGACGGAGACACCGATCGAGATGGCGATTCCGATGGCGGAAAAAGTGTAAGGCGAGATCTTCACCAACGCCGCAGCCCACGAGCTCGGATCACCCACCATACCCGACATTCTCTCTCTCTTCTCTCTCTCTCTGCGATGTCGTGACGAGACGAACTGCTCCTCTCTCTCGGCGGTAGAGAAAAATTACGATGGCCTGTGATCCGAGATTGGAAGTTTGTGGATCACGCGCTGATAAAGTACGCGCGAGGCAGACGAACATAAAACGACAACGTTTGCCTGCATTCTTCAAAACGGTGCCGTTTGAATGCCTTTTTTTTTTTGCCTAAATACTTTTTTTTTGTATTCGTGACTCCAATATTAGTGAACTTTAATTTTGCCTTGCTACGTGGAGGCACGAACATTTCATTTTGCCCTTACATAAGAACGGTTATTATGCGCATGGAAAATGTGTGACGGTCTCAACCATGTATATATATATATACACATATCTACGTACGGAAATCAATATAAACCAAGAACAGTGGTGAATATGGGAGACGACCGTGTGAAGTTCATATGCAAAAGAACAGTGGTGAGTACAAAACCGGTCGAACCGGGGAAATCATACCGATTTTCGGTATTCGATCGAGTGATGGAACCGAACCACATACGCTTGGTTTTCTATTACAAATGCCCCAATGCCAAAAAACCGGGAGAAACCACCAAGAAGCTGAGGGAATCATTGGCGGAGGCTCTAACTTGTTTTCCGATGATAACCGGGAGATTGGTTAAGGACGAAGGCGAGCGTGGATGGAAGGTGAGATGCAACGACGCCGGCGTGAGGATGATCGAGGCGAGAGCCTCCGGCACGGTGGAGGAGTGGCTGGGGAATGTGGATACGGAGGAGGAGCTCAGGCTTGTCCACTGGGAGGAAATTTACCATGGCTCTAGTTCTTATTTTTGGTCTACCTTTTATGTGCAGGTATTTTCTTATTTGGTCCGGTTTGATTTAATTTCGTATTTATCTAAAAAAACTATCATTTAAACTAACGTAAAAAAAAAAAAACTAAAGCAAAGCATAAACCAATTTGATATGAGCTAAATTTAGTTCGGTTTTAATCGGTATTGTGGTTATTGACCCGAATAGATGTGAAATCAAACTCAAATGTATTTATAATAAATCAAATCGAACCGAGTACAAGAATTAGGGGTTTGGATATTGTGGTTTTCAGTTTGATTTTATTCGGGTTTGGTTCTTTCGATTTTATCATTGGAATTTCATGTTAGATTTGGTTTAACTTGTGTCTGATTTTTTAATGATAAAGATAATTATTTTAAAAAAATACTGTTTTTTTCGGTTATTTCTATATTCGGTCATGTTCGGATTTCATTCATAAAAATATGATAAGACATTCGGTTCCGATTTTTCTTTAAAAAAAAATTATTTTTTCGAGATTTTTTAAATCTCGGTTCGTTTCGGTTCCAGAAAATTTGCTTTTCTAAAACATATCGTTCGGAAAAGATTCAATTCGAAAAAATGCCTTATTTTTTCGATTCGATATAGTTCGGTTCCAGAACCGAACCGAAATGCCCTCAGTTTGCTAGAGTAAGCAAAAAAACCTTTAAACAAAGTGTCTTAGCTTTTACTTTTATATACAGATAACTGAATTTGAAGGCGGAGGGTTTGCAATTGGGTTAAGTTCTAGCCATCTTCTTGCAGACCCAATTTGTGCAACAACATTACTTGGAGCTTGGGCCGAAGCAACTCTAGCCCCGACCACGATGGCGGCTTCGCCGCTCCTGCACCAACTCCCGAGCTGTCGGCCGAGAAATGAAAAGGCCGACCCTAAACCCTACGATAACCATCTCCTCAAACATTACATCAACTCTTGCTCATCACAACCCTCGTCGTTTAACCCAACCAATAACGATTTCACGACCGTCACTCTTCTATTCACAGACCCGATGATTCGAGCCATGGCTCGGGCCCATGGAATTATTTTTTCGAGATTTTTTAAATCTCGGTTCGTTTCGGTTCCAGAAAATTTGCTTTTCTAAAACATATCGTTCGGAAAAGATTCAATTCGAAAAAATGCCTTATTTTTTCGATTCGATATAGTTCGGTTCCAGAACCGAACCGAAATGCCCTCAGTTTGCTAGAGTAAGCAAAAAAACCTTTAAACAAAGTGTCTTAGCTTTTACTTTTATATACAGATAACTGAATTTGAAGGCGGAGGGTTTGCAATTGGGTTAAGTTCTAGCCATCTTCTTGCAGACCCAATTTGTGCAACAACATTACTTGGAGCTTGGGCCGAAGCAACTCTAGCCCCGACCACGATGGCGGCTTCGCCGCTCGTGCACCAACTCCCGAGCTGTCGGCCGAGAAATGAAAAGGCCGACCCTAAACCCTACGATAACCATCTCCTCAAACATTACATCAACTCTTGCTCATCACAACCCTCGTCGTTTAACCCAACCAATAACGATTTCACGACCGTCACTCTTCTATTCACAGACCCGATGATTCGAGCCATGGCTCGGGCCAATGGGATGAAGATATCGCCCTTTGAAGCGACGGTCGGCCTCATATGGACCTGTATGAGTCGAGCCAAAGGGATGAGAGACGAGCTCATGGGCATGTCACTGTGCTTAGACGTGAGAATGACCTTGAACGTAAACGAAAATTTCTTTGGTAATTGCATGGTCTATCACAAGCTCCAAAACACCAAAAGATCGTCAGTCACAACAACCGGAGATATATTATCACATGCCATTGAGGAGATTCGAAGGACGACGAAGGAAATCGACTATGACTCGGTCATGGACTTGATCGAGTGGCTGAGAATCAAAGATCATATTGACCCGATAAGGAATGGTTCTGATATGGTGTGTACTAATCTAGAGAATCTGATGGATTTAGGGCATACGAGGTTTGAAGAAGAGATGACCTTGAAACACGTGTCATGCTACGTGGAAGGTCCGGCGGTTGGAGGAGGTCGAGTTACGGTGCTTCCGCCGCTGTCGACTGGTGAAGGACCGATGAGCCGAGTGGCTATGATCACTCTTCCTCGTACGCTGATAGCTAAGGTGTTGAGTGATGAGCTCCTTCAGACCTTCCATCCCATTGTACTCATGGGACCTAAATGCCAAATAAAATAAAAATAGTTATTGTTTGTTGTAGTTTGTACTTTGAAATTATAAATTGCACTTATTGTAAAAGTTTCTAACTTTATGCAAATTTTAATCGAATTAAGCCTAAATCATGATTAACCATTACATCGTGAATCCAATAATACTTCGTTAGATATATGGAAAGAATTTGAGATGAAATTGCAAGAATATGAGATTTTCGATGTTTAATTTTTTATTATTGTTATTATTAGTATTAACAAATATGATTTTTATATCAATAGTAAAAAATTAACTAAAAACTAAAAATCCATTTTCTTAGATTTACAAAAACGAAAAACATTCAAAATAAAAATTACTACAATTCAAAACCTCAATCTCCACTTTTTGATATTCTGATACAATGCCAACTGTCGATTTTTTTATTTTACATCTCAACCGTCGGTTTTTTTTTTCTATCTCAACCTTTATATCTCATGATTCGATTTGAACGGTCTCTATAATTCACAAAACACGTTCTCAACGGTTGATCTTTCATATTAAATTTGAACCGTCCAGTTTTAAAGTTCGATCTCAGCCATTTGTTTTATAGATTCAATCTTGACCGTTGAATCTTACCATATGATCTAGACATTGATTGATCATATTGGATCTCACGTGTCGTTTTTTTTATTATTGACGGTTGATTTCAGATATTTAATTTTAAATCTTTGATATTTTAGATTCCATCTAAACCATTGATTCACAAGATACAATTTCAAGTTTCAACTATCGGGCATTTCAATTGTCTCAACCATGTATGATGTTAAACATGATGGGCCCAATTTCGGCCCATTAAGATATGGTATGGCCCACAGTTGATCAGCAAAAGAAGAGGTGTAATCGTGGGACTGGCGCATTATAAACCAGCCCAAACCTATATTTCTCTTTAATAGTGACCAGCCAATAATATTATTACACGTCATTGATATTACACGTGTCTTCTTTTCATTCGTCCTCTTCACGTATGCCGTCGCGTCGAACCAGAGCCGAGGAGCGATTAAAATTAAAAGACGAGCGAGATCCATACGGAGAGTTGCTCGTTCGCCGAGAAGTGATCGGAAAAAGCATCGGAACCGCTGCTGATTTCCGTCTCGGGAGATATCTTAGAAGTTCTTTCACGGTGGCGTCGTCTTCGGGGCAACAACAATCTCTGTCCAGAAGAAAGTCTTCTTCGTCTTCGTCTCCGTCTCCGTCTCCGTCGCGTTCTGCTCCGGCGGCGCGTTCTTCTCCGGCGAGGAAACCGATCTCGGAGTTTCCGTTTTGGCAGCAGAACTGGTTCATCGGACTGCTTTTCGTGATGGCTTTGGGATTAATCTCTGTTGCTCTCTTCCTTTTCCTCAGCCTCGATCCAGATAACGACTTCACCTCCACCGTCTCCGCTGCCTCCGGTCAAGAAGGTGTCGAGGTGCGTTTTTTTCCATCGATTTGGCTCATGTGTTGGAAACTGTATAATATGGATTTCGTATAGATTGCGACAGATGCGTACGGAAAGACGATTGTGTCGTAGATAGCTCTGTGCTTGTGTATTGTATGAGTTATCTCTTTTTCCGTTTTGCTTTCCTCGAGAAGCTTGTTATCTTCATTGAAAATAAATCCAGAAAGTTCTTTCCCAGAGGATGCCGGATCATATATGAGATTTACGTGCTGCATTTTTCTTCCCATTGCGCTTGTTTTAACGAAGCTTGATATTTGGCCAGAGGATTTGCTTAGGATTTAGTCTTTGTGCTTTATTGGTCCTTCCTTGTGAGATTATAAGTTTATAACGTATATGGTAAGGAACATTGAACCTCATATTTTCATTCTGATATGGCAGATTACCTATGGTAGTGTGATTAAGCTGATGCACGAGAAAACAAAGTTTAGACTGCATTCACATGATGTGCCCTATGGCTCCGGCAGTGGTCAGCAATCAGTCACTGGTTTTCCGGGCGTTGATGATTCCAATAGCTACTGGGTACTTTCTTGCTCCTGTTGTCTTCCTATATTCAGTGCTAATGACTCGTGTTTGGGATTTTGTTTTACTGGTCTTATAGTTTCGACACATTTTCGTTTTGTTTGTGGTTCCAGTTGTGTTGAAGCAACTATAATTCTAGGTGTATTGATTGTAGATAAAACTTCAGCTAAAGTGGGAGAACATATGTGTGTTTTCTTAGAACTATTGCATGCGAAGGCGTCTGACCTTATTTTATGTTTTTTAGTAGTATATAAAAAATACTTCTTTACTTTTGGAACTGAAATGGAATAAGCATAGATGTGTGTTTGTGTTTTAACATAGAGGAACCAGCAGGCGTTTCATCTTACGGCTCGAGGCTTAATTTTTGTTTGGCAGATTGTTAGACCCGTGCCTGGAAAGTCATCCAAGCAAGGGGATGCCATCAAGGTTGGAACAACCATTAGACTGCAGCACATGAAAACTAGAAGATGGCTGCACAGTCATTTGCACGCATCCCCAATATCTGGAAACTTGGAGGTTAGAACCATCTTCCATTTGTAGCTATATATCAACTCCTTTTTGATTGTTGCCTTATCCGTTGGAAATGTCCGAAATTTATCTGGATTTGTGGAAACCTGTGAAGTGAAAAATCAATCTATTATTCTGATTTACATTGAGAAAAGTAGAACTGATAGGGCATGACCTGGAACCAGCATTTCCTGATAATATTAACTCTCGCTTGAGATTTTTTTCCCCAATGCAGGTGAGCTGCTTCGGTAGTGATTCACAGTCCGACACAGGGGACCACTGGAAGTAATCTCTCTCCCAAATTCAATCAATCTTCTTGTGCAAGAGTATATATCTCTCAACTCTTCCTTCTCTCAGTCGCTCACCTGTATGAATCTTTTCACATAGGCTGGTAATCGAAGGGAGTGGGAAGACTTGGAAGCAAGACCAAAGGATAAGGCTTCAACACATAGACACGGGGGGCTATCTCCACAGCCACGACAAGAAATACCAACGCATAGCCGGTGGTCAGCAGGAGGTATACAAAGCAAATACCCCCTCCTCCCCTTTATCTATCTGTTATTTGTGCAGCACATTTCGATATGGTTATGGACAAAAACGATGGGGAAATACCCCCTTCAGTTGAATGTTGTTTGTTTAGAAACCGAGCTTGCGTGCCATTCCTAGGCTTATATCTGCCGGAATGTTAAGAGGACATATCAATTAGTTTTTGATATGAGGTTGCAAATCCTAGATATAGGATAGGATGTGAATACCGAAAGAAAGAGACCAGACATGAATTGGGGAAATACCGAAAGGGCGATACTACATTGATATTTATGTGTTTGTGACGATTACTGTGACTTGGTATATTTCCCTTTCGGGTTTTGGGTTATGATTCATCACATATATATGCACAAGAGAGTCGTATGGAAATGGATACATAGATGGTAACATATAGACGTAATATTCGCTGTCAATTGCAGGTGTGCGGAGTTAAGGAGAAGAGGGCGGATAACGTCTGGTTGGCAGCAGAAGGCGTATACCTTCCCGTGAAGGAAGCCGAGTAGATGGGAAGATGGCGCAGGCTGACTGAAGGATCCATCTGATAATGTATCGGTTCTCCCTCGGAATAGTTTTCGTTCGTTAGATGTGTTGTGATGTTATGCATATCCTTGACATACTTTGACGATATATACACCGACGTATCTGAGCTCTGTTCTTGGTCGATGATTCATCATTAGTAGCAGAAAATGATAATTAACTTTACCATATGAAAAACTGATGAGCTCATTTTTTTTATTAATAGTTGAAATAATTAATCAATAAATTCATCAAAACTTCTTTCTTCATCGACTTATACGACTCAGAGATTTGAGAATCGATGTGTAAGGTTAGTAGATAAAAGAAAATGTACGAGTTCATTACGACAAGTGAGAAAGACTAGGTATAATCCTATATAGACAAAATAGAAATCAATTCACTCCAAAATCGAAATAGAAATCTAAACGAATATAATTAGTCTTCTAAAATCAAATTGTGAATAAAAAAAATAGTAGAAGTCATCCGAAGCATCTTAGGACCATCGGACTCGATACTTTATAAATTTGACCAAACTAGAACTTGGGGAGATGGTAATATTTAAATAAATATATAATTTTAAAAAGTCGGTGGTGGGATCGTGCACCAAATGAATAAATGCGCATATTAATTGATTACCCAACGTTTTTGGGGATGTGGACGCAATTAAGCACCATAACTATCCGTCTTTTTCAAAAATATTCCTTTTTTTTTATATATATATATAACCATATGCACATTTTGATTTGGTTATGTATCATTAAATTGATTCGAACCTAATCGTGTATAAGTATACCTCAATACAATTAAAATTTAAAACCTGTTGCTATGCTGTGGGCTATAATTTTTATAAATTAATTTAATCGAATCTAAATCTAATACAAACTCAATAAAAAAATAAATAGAAACTACATTAAATATTTTTACTAAAAATAGCGTCTAAATGGAAACAACATAAAATACGAATAATATAGCTTTTATAAAATTCTAAAACTATAATACTAAAAACAATCAATGAAATTCGGAATTTTACACGTTTTTAAACAGAGGAATAAATAATAAAAAACGGCAACTAGTGTTACGGTACGACCACGAAACGACGATTGTCGTTGTCGAATTTACGCCTTCCCTATGAAATTTGGTATGTATTGTATGCTGTCAACTACTGTTAAAAAATGAAATACCAACCTTTGACAAAAAAACAATTATTTTTTAATGACAAATATATATAAGATAAAATGCTCAAATATAATATATATATATACACAGACATACATATTGCTCCATGTAGTAAGATGTGTGTACAGCTTTTAAATGGAGATACGTACGACTTTTGGAAATTGATAAATGTGGATATAACAATTAATTGGAGGCCACAAAAATACGTATCCACGTAACTATAAATATTAGATCACATTCACATCATAAACGTTCGTTGATATTTAGTCTTCGCCAATGATAATTCATATGCGATTGGACAATTTGATGATAATTCTACCGATTGTTGGACGATAATTTAAAACATCATGTTTACGGTTTCATTTATGTTAATAAAAAATATCAAACCAAATTTTAAACAAACTTATTAATATGCAAACCTCTTGATATTATCCAAGAGCACATTCAATTCAATCAGTGGGATTTGTGTGAAACCATACGTAAACCTCAATTATATTTGCCAATCTTTAATGGATAATCTTAATCTCTTCTTTATCATTAAATGGTAGATAAAAACAATTTTCCCATAAATAAATAAATATAACGTTGAACGATGATCAATTTGAAGTATTTTAGCATCCGGGGGTCGTATCCATTTTAATTGGAGAATGGCCCACGCCAAAAATAATGAATTGTCTGCCGTACATTCCATGGAAGTCACACCGACATTTTATTTTCTATGGTATTGTTTAATTTCACATCTAAATTGTTCTTACGATTAAATTAAAATATCGTGTTTCCTGTTCTCTCATGTTTGTTAATGGCCGCGTCGCTTTTGTTCGTTCAATAATAAATTAAATAATAACACGATTGTATTTTAAAAAATATATAATTTAGAAATGAATTGGGTATAATTATTTTTAAACTAAATTGAATTATAAAAATAATAAAAATACTATGGCTAAAAAGTATTTCTTAAAATAAAAGTAAATGTGAACCGAGACAATCAAATTTGATTCCACCGAAAATTCAATTTAAAAAAGAATATAATTATTAAAAATTCTAAAATACAGATAAAAATAATTGAAATTCAAAATGCTACCATGTTTTACAAGAAGAAAAAAAAGTGTATTTGATAACAAAATAAAAAAGATAACAATAAAGACCATAACTAACCAGCACAGAACACTAGAAACAGTGGCGAACTTTATTAAATCCAAATCCATACATTAAAATATTTAAACAGATCACTTCACTTACCTTATGCCATCATCATCATCATCATCATCATCACATGCAACCCAAACTTATCCATTCATGCAATTGTCCATATAATATTTTTAATATTACCATGAAACATTGAAATTGATAATGTTTGCAAGGCAACCTCTAATATGCTGCTTTATTTAACGAAAATCCACCATGGAAATGAGCCAAATGTTCTTAAGAAGCTAAACACTAGATAAGTCTATAATCATAATTTTTTTTTGGTAATCGAGTGTTTTAAAACAAAATCCAAACTAATTTTAGATCGGGGTTAATAATGTGATTTGGAATATACATTTCCTTTCCAGATTCAAGATTCGGATTCGGAATGGAATAAACGTTTTGTATTCTCTTTTCACCGGAATGGAATAACAACGCTTTGTTGCTTGGACAAGAGCTGTGGCATCGGTGCGCATGTTATATCATCTTAGCATTGATGATGACAAATGTGTGAAATGAAATGAACATTTCGTGTCTTGGTTCTACAAATATTGACTTTCTTATTCTTCCCTTCTGTCAGGAAAAGAGAGAGTCATTAAAGAGGCATAACCAAATTAACTCAATTCATTATTATAAATTATCTTTAATGCAAATTGAAATTAACTAAAGAATGTAAGGTCAAAAGATTCTCTTTATATGATCTTACTCTACCGAAACCGGACAAAGACGTGACCCACTCTTTCGTGACCCGTCTTACAAATATAATTTTAAAACATGTTTTTCCTTATATATACATATATATATATATACACACATATTAGCTTTTACCTTTATTTTTTATTCATTACTACAAAATAACAATATTCTTTTTACCCATCAAGTAAATTCGTAGTTCATCTAAAAAATGGCGTTTTAGACTATTTTTTTCACCAAAAAAAGTGGTAATATAGATTTAAGGGATAATCTTTATCGCTACGAAAATTACAAATCCAAATGAACAAAGGTGGTGGCTTTATATATATAAAAGTTTTACCTTAACTTTGCCAAGTATTTATTGTTTTTATAAAGAAAAAGAAGCTAAAGGAAGAAGAGTCTCTCATATGGGTAACAGCAAGGGAGTGGACCATGGCACGTTTAAAGGGAGGAAAATGACCTTCGCAAGGGGCAGTTCGGTCATTTCACTTACCTCCGAGAAGTGGGACCCAACAAGCTCAAAAAAAAACACAGAGAGAGACATACATGTGAAGTATGTATCTCAGTGAAGACTTCCAAAGTGAGAGAATCCTCTACCTAACCCTGGACACTAGGTTTTTAACCTATACCATGTCTTCGATGATGATGACTGACATTGATCAGAAAGGCAGGCTCTTGGAGGTGGAACTGGAGGTGAGGGCCTTGAAATGCTCCGAGGGCACGAAATCTTGAGGCAAATTCGCTCTCTTCACTATTCTCTTCATGTTGTTCTGTAGACTCTGTTGAACCAGCTGCTTCACCGCTTTCCTCTCCTCGCTCATCATCTCATCCATCTCGGTACTCATCCCGTCTTTTGGGACTCTGCTCGTCGGTAATAACGACGATGAGGTCCCGTAAATCGGTGCGGATACCGCTCGGGGATTCTCGGACTCGGAAATTTGCTTCCCCTTGCCCACTCTTAGGCACTCCAGTATCCTCGACGCTCTCTTCTGGGCCAATGCGCTTCCTAGGAGGGTTAATTCGAGCAACGAGGATTCGATCCCTGCCTCGATCATGGCTTTTTGGTCTCCCTACGCCTTGTGAGCCATTAACATGAGAATGTAGGTCGCTTTCTCTTGGCAACCGGGGGAATCCGTCCAGCTCAACACGTCCACCAGCACGGGGAAATTTTAGCATCCGGGGGTCGTATCCATTTTAATTGGAGAATGGCCCACGCCAAAAATAATGAATTGTCTGCCGTACATTCCATGGAAGTCACACCGACATTTTATTTTCTATGGTATTGTTTAATTTCACATCTAAATTGTTCTTACGATTAAATTAAAATATCGTGTTTCCTGTTCTCTCATGTTTGTTAATGGCCGCGTCGCTTTTGTTCGTTCAATAATAAATTAAATAATAACACGATTGTATTTTAAAAAATATATAATTTAGAAATGAATTGGGTATAATTATTTTTAAACTAAATTGAATTATAAAAATAATAAAAATACTATGGCTAAAAAGTATTTCTTAAAATAAAAGTAAATGTGAACCGAGACAATCAAATTTGATTCCACCGAAAATTCAATTTAAAAAAGAATATAATTATTAAAAATTCTAAAATACAGATAAAAATAATTGAAATTCAAAATGCTACCATGTTTTACAAGAAGAAAAAAAAGTGTATTTGATAACAAAATAAAAAACAAGATGGCAAGGATCCTCTCACTCACTTGCATATCCCCCAATGTGTTTACCAGAAATGGGATGAGATCGGTTTCGAGGAAGAAGGAAACGTTGGGGTGATAGATGGAGAGGTTGTAGAGGGCTCGGAGGGCGTCTTCTCTGGCTTGTGAACTGCAAGAATCGTCCAAGTTCTCGAGCGTTTTCACCAAGAATGGTACCGCACCGGAAGAACCGATGATGGGTTTGTTCGAATCCAACGCGCTTAACCCCAGGAAATTCGCAACGATTGCTTCTGCAACTGATGGGTTTTGGGATTCGATCAGCTTCAGCATCTTGTGAACAGCTCCCGCTTTAACAATGGCTGCTTTGTTCCTGCATGGAACGAGAGAAACAGGGAACTAATAATTCTCAGAGCAAACAAAAGGGATCCACATGATGAACATTCCACGGGAGATCAAAATCATCATCCATGGTAGTTTTTTTAATGCATGAGAACAATTCGATCATGAGAGTAGACGAAGACTGACCCGTCATTTCCGATTCCGAGATTGAGCAGAGCGTAGAGAGAAGCGATCTGAGCTTCCGCGTCCGCGGTTCGCCAGTCGTCGATCAAGCTGACGAGCGGAGGGATCGCGCCGAGCATCGCGAGCGTCACTCTCGCCTCCGTGTCTTCCTTCGCCAGCAAACGCACTTTCCTCGCCGCCGCTAGTTCCCTCTCTCCTCCTCCTTCTCCGCCGTTGTGGGTCCCACGCGCCGCCGCCGCGATCTGCAACTCCTTGACCACGCGCTTGAGCTCCTCGAGCGCCTCCTCCTTCTTCCTCGTCTCCACGTCAGCCTCTGCCTCCGCCAGGTTCAACAAATCACAGAGCTTCTCCGATTTCGCCTCTTTCTTCTCCCGAGATTTCCTCTGTTTCCCCTCGAAACCGACGCCGTTCAACGCCGCTCCAAGCGTCTTCGCTTTCGCACCAATCGCGGTTCCACCTTCGCAGCCGTCGTCATCTTCCCCGATCTCATGACGGTAACGAGAGCTTCCGCCGCAGCTGACGGCATCAAAGATTTTCCGGCGGAATGACGATCTCCAGAGACGGAAATGGTTGCCGGAGGAGGATGAAGTGGCGGGAGTAGGGTCGAGGATGAGAGATCCGACATTGTTACGGTGACACTTCGCCATTGTCTCCGATCAGTTTTCCGGCGACACTGAACCTGCAGAATCAGCGCGGGCGTGTGTGTGTGTGTGTGAAAGGGAGAGAGAGATCGTTCTGTTCTTGGAAGTGAAAACAGAGGAAACTAAATGATTTTTAGAGACTGACGACTGTTGAAGCTTTTTTTTCCCTTTTCCTTTTTTTAAAAAAAATGTTTTTTTAATATTTTTATTAAATAAGTATTTATCTCTGTGAGTGAGTGTGTGTCAGAGGAAAAGTAGAACGACATTGTCTTAAATCCCTAACACCGTGTCTTGGAAGCCACCTACTTATAGATTAAATAAAACAATAAATAAATAGCATTTTCTTTTCTCCCATCTATAGATTTAGATTATTCAATGACAAAATTTTAATATTTTTATAGTTATTTATATATAAATTCGTTATACGAAAATATTTTTTAAAAGAAGTTTGTTAGCGAATTCCCGGATATGCTATGTCTGTCAAAAAAAAAAATACGAAAAAACTACTTTTTACATATAATTCTTCTTGTGCATCAAAAAATATATTTTTATGTTTTTTTTTAAAGTTCGAATAAATTGTGGATTTATTTTGTCGTTTCCAATTTTGTGTGTAAACACTCGAGTTTGATTTGGATACATTTTTTTCTCACAAGTGATGGAAAAAAATATATTTTTCGGAAAAAAAAATAAAAGATGAAGGAAATGGGGAGGAGGAAATGCAGTGTACGGGAGAGAGCATTAGAGGAGGGTGGGGACAGGGGACAGTGTGATGTCCATCACTGTTTGTTCTTTAATCTCAGCCGTCCATCCTAATTTATGATTTGTCAGGGAACCTTCTAAACGGGTCCCACTTGTAGCTAATAGTAAAAATTTCATTTATAAAAAAAAAATTGTGTTCAAAGTACAAATGAAGTTATGGTGCTCCCTCCCGTATAAAAGAAAAAAAAAATGGTTGCAAATCTAGAAAATGCCAAGATTTGTAGATATTAGCAGTTAATTAACTGCAATGTTTCAGGTGGGTTTTTAAATTGTTTGAGCTGTTGGATTTGAAAATTCCAAAGTTTATTGAATAAAAAAAATTATTGTTGGAGATATATCATTACAAAGATTTTAAAATATAAACTTAAATTAAATATAATCAAATAAGAAAAATTATATCTGAAATTTGAAATCTAATATGATTTAGAATATGATGATATCGTTTTTATAATTACATTAATATAAATCGATGGAATATAAGGATATTGTAAAATTTTATTTTTAAACTATTTAATTAAAATAAAATACTATATCATTAAAGAAATAATTAAAAATAACTAAATCTTAGAATACGAATACACGACCAATTTACAAAAGTTTCATAATGTTTTGATATTTTATAATATTATGTTGTAACAAAACTGTTTTTAAATAACGAAAAAAAAATACTTATTACAAGTAATCTAAACGATAATCATAAAAACTTTAAATTATTTTTCAAAAAATCTAATGAAAATACATTAACTATATAAAATAAACTGAAATATAAAAACTTTATAATTTATCAAATAATACACCAAATTTTCGGAATAACAAATAAATACATCAGTTGTAAAAATAAGAAAAAATCGCCACAGTAAATCAAAACAGATAATTGTGCAAACAAAATATTTCAGATTATAAAATCGGTCTGTAAATAATTGTTAAAGATTAGATGATTTAGTAGTTTTCTGAAATTATTTAGAAAACTATAATTCTATACAACGGTATGATTTTTTTTATAAAAAAGGTTAATGTATAAATTTAATAAATTAAAATTCAGAAATGCTAAACTAATTTTTTTTTAATATTTTATGAAGTTGATTTATTTTTATAGGATTTTCCTACTTTATTTTGTTGTCTTAAAACATCAAAATGCAAGACCACGTGAGAACTTTAGCTTTTGTGATTTTTATAATATTTTCACCACACCGTTTCACTCTTTCACGATAATATTAATAAATTAATGTCGTATTTAAACCATTCAGATACTTGGGGCCCAACGCGATTCTTGGACGAAATCTATGGTAACGTAAGGTGTGCGTCGCAGAGGATAAAAGCTAATCGGCCCTTCTGAAGCACGTGGAAGCTGCGCCTGACTTCCAAAATTATTAACACTGAAGTCACATACATAACTCATTAGCGATTGTTTTGTTCTCCATTTTATTATTTCCAATTTGCTATTTGATCCCTCGATTTTACTATATTGAGGTAATCGCCCATTTCTTTTTTCATTGAGTAAATTTCATAAATCTAGTTTGGAGAAACCCATGTTGAATTATATTTAATTTGAATCAAGCAAATTCTATGTATAAATTATTTATAATAAAAACATTTCTAAGATTTTTTTTATCTGAACTAATTATAAGATATAACTTAATTCTATTAAGATGATATATTATTGGTTTGGACTAAACCGTGTTGGTATCAGGTATAATTTTCTATCATTGGTGTAGTTTTTGAATTTCATTTCATTTTTGTTAACCCTCTATTTATTTATATTATGTATATAAACGATACATTGTAACATTTTTTGAATGAAAATGAAACTTCTCCCTCTTCGCTTGCTCACGTACGTGGAGGATGCATCTATACGAGGCTTGTACTAAGTAATGGCCAATGTTGATATTTGCACGTCTTTTCTTTGCATAGCTTCCGAATAATTGGCATTTCTTGGAATTTATTTCTATGCATTAATTTCCATATATGTACTCAATCAAATCTAATTATCTTTGCACCACCAACAGTTTTGAGGCAATCTCCATTCTAATCATTGGTTGCTGTCGGTTTGTATTTTTAGTATTTTATCGAAATATTGTGACATGAAAAATGCCGCAAATTATCATGTTTACCACATAAAACAGTATTTTATATAAAGTAAATATACCTAAATCCATGATGAAGTGACAAATGACAAATTGTTGTAGAGGACTTCTAAACTATTACGTAAGAAAATTTTGTCTCAACAAATGAGTGTTTATAATTTTTTTAGATTTAATTTAGAAACCACAACCATCTATTTTTTTTTTATAAGAATGGAAACTCAATCACAACCTTTCGGACGCGGTGATAAACTATTGACTCTACGTAGTAACATTCAAACCATGTGAAACATCTAAACTATCTAAAGGGTAACAATAATTTTGTGTCATTTTTAATTCATCCATAAAGAATTATAAAATTGTATTTTATGTTATTTTTATATTTATTTGACCCTTATATTTTTTCTATATGTTTTTATTCGACCATGATCAATAATTATTGGCCACAATTATTCACATCAAATATTAATTATACCATATATTGATTATGATATTAAACGGTAATATAATTGTTAGAGAATTTCTAACATATATGATTTTTGCAATAACATTTTATTTTTTTATAGATCTCACACTGGATTTCTTCAACTATAAGAATGTTACGGTAAAAGGTAACTAGTATCCACTGGTATCATAATGCTAGTTTTTTTATGGAAAAATATATCTCAAAATTTTTGTTTATCTATTTTTACACGGTAAATGTGGATATCTTATATTTCTGAGTGCACATTATCAAAATATGATTATTTTAGTTGCATTTTACAGATCTTAGTTTGGAATATTTTATTTAAAGTTGTAAGAACATCTCCTTATAGAATTTATATTTTTGTGAACTCTTTGGTTTGAAAGTCACTTAAATTGCATCAATGGAATTAAATTTATTTTTGTGTGCACATTCTCAAAGGCTCACGCCTGAGACGCATAATTTAAATGAAAAATTATATTAATTTATATTACGTTTTTAATTGAAAACAATATTATCACTATTTTAAATTTAAAATAGTGTGAACCTAAATTTTAAAAATATTATTAGAATAATTATATTAAATAAATGAAAATTATAATTATTTTAAAAACGTTATTAAATTTTATTGTAATATTTGATAATAATAGAGGGAAAATTGATATTTAATATTTGATAGAATTAGCAATAAAATTATTGGAGGGAAAATGGGACTAGTACGTGTATTAGGTAAATTACGAGAGATAGGTTTAAGATTATTTGGACATGTATAATTTAGGTTAATAGATGACTCGATTAAAAAGTTTGAGAAAATAGAAGAATACATCTAAATTGAGAAAAGAGAGGAGTGCATCTAAATTTATTTGTTAACGATTTATTAAAAATAACTTAGAATTGTTGAAAATTTTGAAATACCTAACTCACAGTCGAAATGAATAATTCATTGCATAGATCTCGAATAAATTAAGATAATGATGATGATGATGAATATAATCATAAGGGTAATATTTTCAAACTAGGTTTAAAAACACAATTAGAGTAATTAAATAAATAAAAAATATTCAACTTTTTTAATATATTAAAAATTAGAATATATTACAATATAAATCTGTATTTATGACAAATTTTTATGATGATTTTATAGATTTATATTAACTAATTTGTTTATATAAAAATTTTCAATATATATATATTGATAACAACTTAATTATAAAGATGAATTATTTTAACTATATTATTGTATCATTATTTTAACATTTTTTCATTTTTTTTGTGAGAGAAGATTAATAGTTAAAATAATTATTAAAATGTTGTTCATCTTTTCACTCATTTCATTTCACTTCTGTTCATCTTCTTCCTCCCTTTCGCCTTCTTCTTCACCTCTGTTCCTCGGTGATTTCTTCTGTTCACGCTTCGGTTCTTAGAGGCGGCCGCCTCACGCATCAGGTGGAGGCACGTGTAAGGCGCGCCCATGACCGCCTCTGAACTTTCGCCTCGCTTCTAGGGTTAGAGGCGATTTTCTTCTTGCTTTTTTGGTGGTAATTTCAAACCTGTTTGTTGCGTGTGTGTTTTTCCACAGAAAATGAGTAGCTTGGTTGAGAGGCTTCGTCTGAGATCAGATCGGAGACCGGTTTATAACTTAGACGATTCAGATGATGATGACTTTGTTCCAAAAAAAGATCGAACCCTGGAGCAAGTTGAGGAGATAGTCAGAACTGACGCGGTTTGTTTCCCTAATTCTTCAGCTTTTGACGCTTATGTGGATGGGGGACGTTGTTGTGAAATGATGTACTCAACATGTGGCATTTCTGCCTCTTCGTTTTGTGATCTTGTTCCATTTTTGTTTGTTTCTCTTGATATACAGAAAGAAAATGCATGCCAGGCTTGTGGAGAAAGTGAAA